ATAATGTACCTATTTTTAATTTATAAAAAATGTGTATAAATTTCAATTATACAACGCACCTATTTTCTATAAATTATTGTGTACCTATTTTTAATTTATGAAAAATGTACGGAAATATCAATTACAAAGTAACTGACCTATTTTTTTATAAAAAATTTGGTAAATAATATACCTATATATTTATATTTATATTTTTCATATGTACATTATTAGACATGTAATTTACATATATATATTTTTGGTTTGCAATTTTAGGGGGCGATATGTTAGAGGGAATGGCAACCAAAAGAAATGGGGTGACTGATATGCTATTAATAGGGAGCTTTAATTACAATTATAGCAATTAATGAAATGCTTGGAATTAATTATAAATAAAATATGAAGGATGATGGCAAGGATGTAAAAACATAGGAATACTACGACCTCTTATATCTTACTGGTCATTTAAGTATGAAATTGGGTTTTACACATAGATTTATAGAATGATGGGTATATGTCTAGGAAATAGAAATTGTAGGGATCTATATTGGACAAGCCCTAAAAATAATGAACGTACGAATGTAGCAAGTAAGAAACAACTTAAATAACGATCAATATCAAAGGGATATAATTCGAGAAGGTTATATAAAAGGAGGAAACATACTTCTAATCTTGGGCGTTGGATTACATTCATTAAATGTGTTGATAGCCTCTTAGATGCATTCCAATACCCAAGATTAGAAGTATATAACAAATCCTTAACTTAAATACTTGTTGGAGAATGTCCCTCTATATATATATATATATATTTAAAGAGTATAGCCTCATGGCTATACCCTTTGAAAATAGAGTATAGCCGCGCAGCTATACTCTTTAAATATATTCGAATATTTAAAAAATATAACCGCACGGCTATACTCTTTATATATATATATAGGGGGCGGATCCGTGGCACTACGTTTTTGACACAAGTTTTGACACAATTTTTGGGCCATTAGATTACTCCACTTTCAATGGTTGAGATTAAATGTTACATGGCAAGCAGTTTTAATTTTTTTAAATAGACAATCATTAATTTTATTTTCTCTCTCTTAAAAATAAAAGAAAATCTTTCTCTCTCCAACCTTTTTGCTGGAAGACGTGATATCTCTTACCTTTTTAATCTCAAATATTTATTAGGGTCTATCCCCAAATAGATAATCCATCAACTCTCTCTCTCTCTCTCTCTCTCTCTCTCTCTCTCTCTCTCAATTTTTGCCTTCTTCGCTGGGAAGAAAGCTTTGCTCCACAGGTACATATTTCAATTTTCGATTTTCATCAGATTTGGTTTATCTTTATTTTATTTTTTGTTGGAATTAAACTAGGATCTTTAGATTAGGAATTTAAAGAATTAATAGTGTCCAAGGGGATTAAGTGTATTTCTTAGGTATCTATGATTAAGCTATTCATTTCAATTTGTTTCAAACTGTTGGTAGGATTTCTTACTGTTTTTTTTTTCTTTCCGATTAATAGGGACAGAATACAAGGAGAAAATTTGATGGCACACCACTTGCTTCAACCTCCTCCCTCTTTGGGGTTGGTTCTAGAAATTGATGGATTATGGAATTACAGTTTATGAATTGTTTTTTTTCTTTCTTCTAGCTAGTGTCTTTGCTGGGGGCTGTCCAAAATGAATGTTTCTTCAAATGGCCTCAACACCTTGGTTCTACTCTGCTCCCCTGTGGTCCTATGTATTATGTTTGGTTGTTAGTTTTGGGATTTTTGCCCACGGGTGGCTTTTATGAAAGTTTGTTTTTCTGATTTTGCTGTGGTTGCCACTGGGAAGAAAGAGTTGCTTGTGTTTACAACCCAAGCTTTTTTCCTGATGTGATTTCACCTATGGAAGGTGATATGCTGTAGAACATTATTTGATGAGGAAGATTTCATTGGTCTACGTGTTATATGTGTATGAAAAACAAAAATTATTTATTCACTATAATAAAGTGATTAATTTCATTAATTAGAATAAAATGTTTTACACAAGTTCATTGCAAAGTCCATCCATTGATTTTTTGCCCTTTTTTTCCTGAACACAAAGAATGTCATTTGAAATCATTTAAGTGGGCATCTACAATATTTTCCTATCATGAAACACCCATAAACAACGGATTAAGAACAATTTTGAAACACATTATGTATCATATAGTACGTAAATATTCCTGATACAAGATATCATAATCCAAAAAGCGTAGATTCATATCATTTGTCTATGTAATGCCACATATATGGAGATAACAAGACCAATGATCACCACTGAGACAAGAGCTTCCCCCTAATGAACATAATAGACTATTCCTGATGCAAGACAATGTCAAAGATACACAAGAGCTTCCCCCTGATTAACAATATTCTTGGTCATCACTCTCCATATCTTGGCACAAGTCTTCTGACTCTTCATTGCCTGAATTTAGATTCATAATAATCAAATTAAACATAAGCTTTTGACCTTACTATTAGAAATATAAAAAAATAAAATAAAAACAAAGTGAACCAACTTACATAGATTCGTTGATTCATTCTTTCTTCTTTTCAGATTTGATGGACAATTTCTTTTGTCATGTTGTGCTATCTTTTTGCATAATGCACACTTTCTTTTCTTCTTGTTTTGAGCCAACTCAATACCACTTTTTATCCTTTTTGAACCGCTAATATTGTCCTTCTTTCTACCCTTAGTTTGTGAGATATTAGGGTCCAAAAGCAACAATTGAGAGGAATCAATATTAGTACTACATGGATCACCTATTGTTGAGGAAGGAATTGTTGCATGCTGAGTAGAATTGTCTGACAGTTTCTTGGACAATTCATTTATAGCTTCCATAAACGTTGTGTATGCCTCATTTGAAGATGCTGCAATGCAAGCCAACTTTGTTGCTTGATGACACATATGGCTAAGTCGTAAAGCCTCTGATTCTTCTTTACCATCATTTGTCACCAAACTTTTAAAATCCATTATCCTAAATTTGTTTGCTTCTTGTCTCCATCTTGGAAGAATAAAATGGTCAGGTAGTGTATCTATATCAAGGCGAACAAATACTTTCAACAAATGTCGACAAAGTATTCCAACAAACTCAAAATTTTGGCATTCACACATACCTTTGTATGTTTGTAAATTTAACTTCACCACAAACTCTTCATGCTCTCCAAGTTTTGTTTTCACTAGGTATGCATGATATTCGTTGTCACATGGAATTTCTTCAACTTTGTAGAGAGTAACTTTACTCCATTCATCCTTAAACTTGTTGAAAACATTTCTAGTGTAAAACTTCGCTGCGTGTTTCAAAAGGAATTCTCCTTCATTCACAATGCGATACTTGTGTTCTGATTCAAAATCTTCATCACTTTCTCTATCCATGATCCTCTTTAATGCTTGCTCATATTTGACAACAAACTCTCTAAGATTTATTGTCGGTGTAACGAATCCATCAAAAAAAGAATTAATACCCTCACTACGTCCAGTAGTGTTCATTCCTGCAAAAAATATGTCACGATTATAAACAGGAACCCAAGAAGAACGTATATCATATAAACTATTCAACCAGTCATCATTAGCCAATTCACATTCTTTCATCAATTCCTTCCACTTTTCTTCAAATTCCTCTATCTTGTATGTTGACCGAATACATTTCTTCATCTGAATTTTGAATTTGGACTTCTTGAAGTACACATGTGACAATTTTTCTGCAAACTTCTTCTTAATATGCCAAAGGCATAACCGATGGCGAGTGTTAGGAAAAATCTTGGCAATTGCTCCTTTCATTGCCAAGTCTTGATCAGTAATAATGGAAACTGGATGACGTCCTCCCATTGCTTCAAGCCATGTCTCAAACAACCACAAAAATGTCACCTCTGTCTCATCTTGTAAAAGTGCACATCCAAATTGTATTGATTGCAAATGGTGGTTTACTCCTGTGAATGGTGCAAATGGCATATCATACTTGTTTGTCCTATAGGTTGTGTCAAATGTGACTACATCTCCAAAATAGTGGTACGCCATGCGTGATCGAGCATCCACCCAAAAGAAATTAGCTGCCCTTCCGTTTTCATCACATTGAATGGCATAAAAACAAATTTGAGGATTCTCAGCTTGCTTCTTCCTAAAGTAAGTAAGAACTGACTGTGCATCACCTCCATCCAGTTGTCTATGTCGGACATTTCTCAAGTGGTTATAACAATCTCTATTGTTAAAACCAATATGCGGGCCACCAAGGATTGAAGGAACTTTTGCTATTGGCAAATTTTCTTCATGAAATGTTTCAGTCAGAATTTTAGCTGCTTTCGGCATAACCCTATTTGACTTCATTTTCATTCTTCTTTCCGGTGTAACTGGCTTGTGATTGTGAGAGTCTTGGAAACTTGAAACTTTCCATTTGTTTGACCATCTATCAAGCTTAATTCGCATACTTGCTTTGCATCCACATTTCACCGTAGAACAATTTTTACCCGTTCTCTTCATATTCTCAATCTCACTTAAGTTTCTCTCATCATTCTCTTCTGAAGCCTTCTGTGATGTATTTTTGGGCACGTATTTTCCTTCATGTGCACAAACAAATTGTCTACTCGTTACCTCATCTAAACGCCTTCTTGTCTTGGAGGAAGATCGAGTTCTAATCCAGAATCCTTCTTGCCGGCCATACTCTTCATAATAGTTTCTTGCTTCTTCCATTGTGTTAAATACCATCCCTGCATATGGTGCTTTTAATTGTGTCACTTTCTTTTTTGGAGTACTTGTTTCACCATTCTCCACTTGAATTATCTCCTCTACCTATTGAACATATCGATCATTCTTAACGATGCAACTTAATAAGATATATATGAAAATAAAGAATATGATTCTCTCTGTATCAGAATATTAACGCAAGATGAAATATAATGGAATAAAATTTCATACTGATTTTAAAAAATAATTCTTACGTTAAAAGATTATTGTTTGTCAATCATATAACACCATATTTATAAAACAAAAAAAAAAAATTCAGCAATCCTAATTGTCTACAGGAAGAGCTACAACAAAGATAAACAAAAAGAAAAAAGAATAAAAATCTTAGATGAAGGTAACATACCAAAGATACGCACTGAGAGTTGGAGGAAATGTCTTGTGTGTGCTCCAACATTTTGATGAGGCAATATTGTATTAAGATATGAGAAATTGCTTTGACATAAAAAAACTATACTGAAGATGAATTCATGGTTGCGTATAATATATGGTTCAGATATCTGCTGCAAGCATTTTGGGTATCGCATCCCAGGTATGTCATGGATAATATTGGAACTTCTCCAATATCTATATCTTGCCATCTATTGTTAATTTTGTGAATGAGCAATTACGGTTTCGAATTGTATTTAGTTGTCGCTTAATCATGATGTTCATGATCCGTCCTTGCTAATCCGTCTAGTAATAAGTGATTCTTTTATAAATAATTGCTAAATCATTTTTCTCTCCTCTTAATTTGTTTTGTCTTATGATATTTCAACACACATAAAAAATTAAGATTGATCCACAATGCTCTGTTATGTTTGTTGACATAAAAGATTATACAAACTTGAATATGAAACATAATACCAAAATTTTCATACTTAGACTAATCAAACATTAAATCATGTACTCGTAACTCATATCTTGTCTTATTAACACACTAGTTTTAAGGTCTTGATTCGGACCTCAAACATCAAATTCTAGAATTTGGACCCTAAACTGCAAATACCTCAAATTCCAGAAACTCGTATAACTATGTAGGTTTAACTTGTATAGTTATTACTCTAGTTTTTGTTTCTAGGGTTAAAGTTAGGAAGGGGGAAAAGGGTTTGTACAAACACACAATGTTAAGGTGTCATTGAGATAATTTGTTTGCAAGTCAATGCCCTTTTCGACTAAGTTAGACCTCATTAGCCTATTACTTTAGTTGAGACAACTTATCCCAAGTAAAATTGGGGATAAACTATTTTTCGTTTGATCCAGTACTATTTTAATTCACTGTAAAAGATTTGTAGCTCAAATAGTTAAGGGTGATTACTTATGCAATTGACATAGTGTGACTTTTGGGGGCTAAGAGAGAAACTCTCAAGCAACGAAAATGACACTTTTTTATATTCCTGACCAATGACACAATGATATGTAAAATAACTTTTCCACATGTCATCGTATAACACATCATCGGGCTTTCCGCTGGTGATACAAACTAATTCTGCTATACGGATTAGGATCCACATCTGTCCCACAACAAATTGAGCAGTGGCACACCGAGTACCGACATGTCAGCAAGCAAGAAGGTAGCACAGAAGTTCCATGCTACCTCCCAATATATTTCAATTCGCGCTTTCCCGTATCAAAAATTTCCAACATCTCCCTCCTTCCCAAATTTTGGAGCCAAATGGCGGAAACAAAAACACGAGGCCCCGTATATTTGTAATTATTTTAATTATTTTATTAAGGTAAAAATATTATTAATTTCACGTTAATATGGTTATTCTCAAATAATAATTATAGATCACGTCGTATATAAGCAATTCGTCGTTGTGTGCAAAACTGTAAATTGTGGTTTTAGGCAAACGGGACCTCTGTGTGTGTGACAAACACAGCTCGAGCTTTCTTGATTTTCCGGGAAACTTTTATCTTGATTTTCCTGAGAAAGTTGGTCCCGGCTCCATCACGGCACCGACTCCAAGGTCAAAATTCCGACTTCGTTTTGACTCTTTCTTTTTGTTGTCTGCTTTTGGCCGAAAGAAAGTTACAGAGAACCGTTTCAAATTCATTACCTTTCTGCATCCGTTGCTTTAATTAGGGTTTTCGCACCCAAATTTGGGTATTTGCATTGATTCCGGCGGCGTAAATTGTCTCTGAGGACGGTGGCCGATTTTTAAAGTCTTCAAAATTCGATTGTTCAGTTTCTTTTTGGCGTTCTTTTTTCAAGGTTTGGTTTGGGGTTCAATGTGAAATTAGGGTTTGGGTTGTTATATTTTGAGGAGATTTTGTGGAATTGAATGGTTAGAATATGATTATCAAACGGCCTCTGAAATTCGAAATGCCAAATGTGAAACGTTGCAAGCTCGAAGAGCCCGAAGCTACAGCCTATGAATTTTCCGCGAATCCGAAGAAGCGGAAAACGAATGGGTACAGCTCAGTTGGCAATGGAGAGGGCGAAGATTTCAGCAGCGGTTCAGGTTCTTCGTACAACGACGAGTTGTCTTGGCCCACCAAAGAGGTCCAGTCAAATTTGGAGCGATTGATTAATCAACGAGCGTTGAATCGGAGCTCCGGGAAGTTCCGGAGGTCGTCACGAGGACGAATTCAGATGCTTCCTTCGAGGTTTAACGATTCAGTCATTGATGTATATAACAATAGAGAAACTAATTTTGACGAAGAAGAAGGTTATGAAGTTTTAGTAGAAGATGATATAGAGGGAATTGAGAAATTGGGTTTTGTTAAAAAGAGCCAGGAGGATATTTATAGGCACAAGAATTCGAAGAAGTTCCAATATTATGGGAAGGAAGAACAAGAAGAAGACGACGTGGATTGTATAGGGTATAAACATTTTGATCATAGAAACTATACGACTTTGAACAAAAGTGGGAAATATAGAGATGGGTTTAGTTTAGGGGGCATGGAGAAAATTAGTAAAGCCAATGGTGCAAAGAAGAAAGAAATATATAAACCACAGGACTTTGCTTTGGGTGACATTGTTTGGGCTAAGTGTGGGAAGAGCTACCCGGCTTGGCCAGCTGTGGTGATCGACCCCATATTGCAAGCTCCAAAATCAGTTTTGAGGTGCTGTGTTCCTGGTGCTATATGTGTGATGTTCTATGGGTTCTCAAAGAATGGAACACAAAGGGTAAATCTCTTAATAGGGAAACTTTCTGTATTTTTTTTAAGTACTACAAATTTGTTCAGAGTGGAGTTTAAATGAACGTTGATGTGCAGGATTATGGGTGGGTGAGGCAGGGAATGGTATTCCCCTTTCCGCAGTTCATGGACAGGTCTGTAGCTCATTAGTTCTGTGAAGTTTGCCTATTTGTTTAGAAAAATCTTTGAGCAATTTTGTTTGTCCAGATTTAGGGGGCAGACACAGTTATACAAGAGCAAGCCAAGTGATTTTCAGATGGCAATAGAGGAGGCGTTGTTAGCAGAAAATGGGTTTCTGGACACAAGCTTTGGGACAACAACTAATTCAGAGGAAAATCCCGCCCAATTCCAAGAGGCTACTGGGTTTTATCAAGATCAGGAATATTACTCTCAGAGCCATGTAAGTTTTTTATTTTTCTACTCTGGGAAATCCCTTTTTCTCTTCATTCTTTGGATTTCGGTACATCTTGAAGAATATAATCCGGGCCTTTAATACATTGTTGTGAAGGACTCATATAATCCGGCCTGTTTGGAGAATGCTACATGGTATAACCTTGAATGAATACTTTTTGACATTTCTATGAGAAATGAAAAGGGTTACCCTACAAAACTGAATAAATAGCAGAAAGAATAACAAAGATGGATAAATAACAAGGATCAAGACAACTCTCCTTGCGTTATTTTCAGTTTTCTCTTTTGGTTCGGCTATTTTTCATGCAAAGATTTTGATTTTTAGACTAGTTTTAGGTTTCTGAATTTTTTTCCTGTGCAAAATTTTGTTTCCATGCTATAAAGTATAATCTTTTATTTCAAATGCTATATTTCATCCAGTGAATTTATTATGCAGGAAGCATATCATAAAGACACAAGGGCTTGTGATTGTTGTGGTTTGGTTACTCCTTCTAAAGCTATGAAAAAAATGAAGGGCTCACGTTCTGAAACCCAACTTTTATGTACACATTGTGCCAAGGTTCCAAATGGCCTCATGTTGGAATTATTTTCTTTTTAAATTATTTAAACATAATTATAGGTTCCTAATGCTTACATTCATCTTATGTAGTTAAAAAAATCAAAACAATATTGTGGCATATGCCAGAAAATATGGCACCACTCAGATGGTGGGAATTGGGTGAGTTATCTGCAATCTATTATTTTCATCACCATCATCATCGTAATTTGTTTCTTTAATTATGTGGTTGAATGGTTTGACAGATTGTTGGTCTTAATCTCTGTCTCAGGTATGCTGTGATGGTTGTAATGTTTGGGTGCATGCCGAGTGTGACAAAATTTCCAGTAATGTTTTGAAGGTATATCTTTCATGTTTACTTTGAACTTTTTTCCTCTCTCCTATGCTTTACCTAATTTTGATAAGGAATCGAGGGTTACTAAATTGACTGGGGTTCAGGACCTGGAGCAAATTGATTACTATTGCCCTGATTGCAAAGCAAAGTCGAAGTGTGGATCATCAGATTTGGTAAAACGTCAGAAAAAAACCAGGTATGTTAGAAATGTTTTCTTTTGTTCATTTCATCTGGTGGCAAGTGAATTTCTGCCTTTATAGATTTTCTTTTAACGCTTCCATTAAGTTAACTGAAGGATATGGCAATTTTTGAAACAGTTCTGCACTACACGTCCAGAAATCGTTGAATCCTGAGCAGATAACTGTAGTTTGTAATGGCATGGAAGGAACATATGTTCCAAAACTTCATATGTAAGCCCTTATCTTTTGTAAATGCAGAAGTTATATTGAAATGAATTATTCTATGTATTTTTGTGGATTCCATTCGTCATTGTCAAGTTAAAATCATCCATTCTTGCTGGGTCTGTCAGTTTTCCTTCACCAATTTCAGGCTCTCCAGTAAATCTGATCGTGCTGTTTTATTGAGTAATTCAAGTCAATCATTTCAAGTTTCAGCTATA